TAGTGGCGCAGAGGCGATTGTTCTCTCTCTCTCTCTCTCTCTCTCTCTCTCTCTCTCTTTCTCGCGCATGACCGCAAACGAGCTCTCACCGCATCAATATCAAAGGTACAGATACGGTTGCGTTGCTGTGTCGTAATAGTACGACCAGAATCTGTTGATTTCCATCATAAGATGTCAAAGATGGTGAGTACTAGTCATGAAGATAAACGCGATAGCTTCGACGTCCGAGCGAATGCTTTTCCATTCTTGGTTTCGCGAGTGGAAGAGCGAGGGTCTTCTTGACAAAAGAAAAATAAAGTCTATTCCGTTCCGTCCCGCTCCCTCTGCGGATCAAAGCCGCGTCGATACTTGCCTTTGACAAGCCTGTCTTGCATAAAATATGAGGTAAAATATAAGGTAATCTTATTTTGTTTCAGCGGATGAAAGCTGTGAGGTGTCCCACTGATGAGCTCAGCCTCTCCAACTGTGCCATCATTAACGCGGATGATTTCCCTGATGATGTCAGGTAAGAATTTATAACTTGATATGCAATTATCTTATAAATATCCACACAATCGCTAAAGCCAATTAATAGGAGATATTTTTCAAATATTTTTATTAATCTAATATAAATTATAAACATTTTGTGTTATATATATTTATATTTTAGGACCAAATGGAATTTAAAAGTAACTATGGCAATGTCGAATTATTGATATGGAAATATAGATTTTAAAATAAAAATTTTTTTCCATTATTTTATTTCATAGTTTTCTTAAAGGAGCCAACTATTTTATTTTAAAATTCCTTGAAAGTTTATGTCTGAATAGAAACCAATCCTATATTATTATATATTTTTAAAGCATGATGCGATAAGAATACTTATTGATACATCTATTTTATTGTTTTTTTCAGGCATATTGAAGTAACTACAGCACCAAATTATCATTTTGTGTTTACTGTAAGAACACATCATGAGATTCCACGTGGCACAGTTGGTTTTAGCTTACCTCAACGAAAATGGGCGACATTGTCTCTTAACCAAGAGATTGAAGTACGACCATACCACTTTGATCCAACTTCCAATACAGAATGTTTATGCAACATTGTTTTGGAAGCTGATTTCCTGCAGAAGAAAACGTATGTTTATTGGAAACACTATGTATACATAAAATTATTAGAATTATCGTGTAGTATAAATAAAAGTCTTTTATATAATTAAATAATTAATTAAGTTTAGATATGATAAATCTTAATTTAATATTGCAACTGAATCTTTTATTAGCCTTTTTTTCTTATTTATTATATTACATTCTATTATTATTATTATTATTATTATTATTATTATTATTATTATTATTATTATTATTATTATTATTATTATTATTATTATTTCAGTGTCACTTTGGAGCCATACAATACAGATGAAATGGCCAAGGATTTCTTGCTACAGTTTTCAGGCCAGGCATTCACCGTGGGTCAGCAGCTGGCGTTTCAGTTTAAGGACAAGAAGCTGCTTGGGCTAGTCGTGAAAAGTTTGGAAGCTGCCGACTTGTCAGCAATCAGTTCAGGACAGAGTACAGTGCCTAAGAAGACAAAAATGGGACGTTGTTTGGGTGATACTATAATACAATTCGAGAAAGCAGAAAATTCCAGTCTAAATCTTGTTGGACAAGCTAAGGGGAGGGCTGTTCGGCAGACGATTATCAATCCAGATTGGGACTTCCAGAAGATGGGTATTGGCGGCTTGGATAAAGAATTCAGCGCTATTTTCCGAAGAGCGTTTGCATCCCGTGTTTTTCCAACGGAAATTGTCACACAATTGGGTTGCAAGCATGTAAAAGGAATTCTGCTATATGGGCCACCTGGTACAGGAAAGACCTTGATGGCTCGGCAAATTGGAACGATGTTGAATGCGAGAGAGCCAAAAATTGTAAATGGTCCACAGATTTTGGATAAATATGTTGGCGAAAGTGAGGCTAACGTCAGAAGATTGTTTGCTGAAGCAGAGGAGGAGGAAAAAGGGTAAGTAATTTGAAATAAATTGTATTAGAAACAACATATATTTACATTAGATTTCTCACATGCAACAGGAGAAAAATAAAAGAGAAATGTCATATCTTTTTAGCTCGGACCAAACAGTGGACTTCACATAATCATATTTGATGAAATAGATGCCATCTGTAAATCTCGAGGTAGCGTTGCTGGAAACACGGGAGTTCACGATACAGTAGTTAATCAACTTCTTGCAAAGATAGATGGCGTCGAACAATTAAATAACATTCTTGTTATTGGTATGACTAACAGAAGAGACATGATTGATGAGGCCTTGCTAAGACCTGGCAGATTGGAGGTAAATTTAAATTAAATTTGTTTAATAAAATAAATAGTATTTTTTAAATCTAAGCATACATATTTAATATATGCGGCTACAAACAGAATATTGATATTCAATTCGCATTCAGCTTAATTTACCCATATATTACTATAAGCTACTTGTTATTTGATATGTCTTTATTCCATATGTTTAAAGTTACAAATGGAGATTAGCTTGCCAGATGAACATGGACGTTACCAAATCCTCAATATTCATACATCTCGAATGCGAGATTATAAAAAAATAGCGCCCGATGTAGACTTGAAAGAATTGGCCACATTAACTAAGAACTTTAGTGGTGCAGAACTAGAAGGTCTAGTTAGAGCAGCGCAAAGTACTGCTATGAATCGATTAATTAAAGCTTCTAGTAAAGTGGAAGTAGATCCAGCTGCAATGGAGAAACTTATGGTGACTAAAGGTGACTTCTTTCATGCACTCGAACATGATATTAAACCAGTAAGTCACTCAATCAAGACCTAAATTTGTTTATAATATATAATATTGTTTCTAATAAAAATTTTATTTCGTATTTCTAACGGAGCAAAATCCGCTTTTGATTCATATATCACAGTTATATATCTCGTTTTAAATAATTATTAAAATTTATGCACGCAAGATGTGATATCAATTACCATTTGCCAATTACCATATTTTTTAGGCATTTGGTACAAGTGCTGAAACATTGTGTCAATTGTTGACTCGTGGAATTATTAATTGGGGAAGGCCAGTTGCTGAAATTCTTGCTGATGGCAGTTTATGCATTCAACAAGCTCGGGCAACCGAAGGATCTGGACTTGTTTCAGTTCTTTTGGAAGGACCACCGAACAGTGGGAAGACAGCGCTCGCCGCACAAATCGCAAAGAATTCAGATTTTCCATTCGTTAAAGTGTGTACTCCTGAAGATATGGTTGGGTTTATTGAATCCGCAAAATGTCTTTCTATACGGAAGGTATGATATATTTTATATTATGTAAATTAATTAATTTGCCTACAATTATATTTAATGTGATAGAGAATAATTTTTATTTATTTTAGGTATTCGACGATGCATATCGTTCGCAGCTCAGTTGCATTTTAGTTGATAATATAGAACGTCTACTAGATTATGGCCCAATTGGACCAAGATATTCTAATCTTACATTGCAAGCACTTTTGGTGTTATTAAAGAAATCACCACCACCTGGTCGCAAACTGTTGATTCTATGCACTTCTAGTCGCAAGTAAGAGATAAGGCTTTATTTTTCTAGACCAAAAAATATAAAAATCATTATATTAATAATATATTTTTTTTTTGCAGACAAGTTTTAGAGGATCTGGAATTACTCTCAGCATTCAATACCATCCTCCATGTGCCTAATTTATCAACCCCTGATCATCTGTTAAATGTGTTGGAAGAAGTTGATCTTTTCACAAAACACGAAATGGTTTCCTTGCATGCAAAGCTTCAAGGAAAACGGTAAGATATTTTGTTAAGACAATACATATGATATTCAAGAAAAAAAGAAAAAACTCTTATTATAGATATTTTTATTACCTAATGTCAAATATTAAATCCAATTTTATAATTTCAGTGTATTCATCGGTATTAAAAAATTACTCTGCCTAATAGACATGGCACGTCAAGTGGAACCAAGTTACAGAGTTGCAAAATTCTTATCGAAACTAGAGGAGGAAGGTGCTTTAGAGTAAGACATATTCCATTTATTGAGCTGCGTTATTTTTAATACAGAAAAAGAAAAAACATGAACGCTTCTAAATGTAAACTTATTTAGCTTGCGCGAGCAAAGCCGAGACGCAATTTTGATTACCCAAAACGCATTCTCAGATTGTAGTAATTTAAATGTAGAAATTTAACAGCTTTTATGTATAAGTGAAAGATATAATCAGTGATATCTAGATCTCTGTATTACAATAAGTTTCTGAAACAGGTAGAATGATACCAGCTTGTCTTGTGATGCATATCTGAAAATATATACTAACTCTATTTTGAAGTACAAGAACTATATTATTACAGGTATATAGGCAAATGTTATCAATTTTGTAATTTATAGAAATGAATACTATATTTTTATTAACTTTGATATCATTCAATTTAATTTTGATTGACTTTAGCAGATCCTATTTATTTTATAGGTAGTGGCTTAATTGATTTATTAATTGTTTGCTCGTATTTTGAACTAACGCGATTTGTTATAACTTGAATGAATATTCGATTATTACATAATAATGTACAATATATAGTTATGGAAATGTACATGTAAAAAAAATGAAAATATTTGAAATAACACGCAATATCTGATTTTAGCATAAAGATCGTCTGTTGCATTATACCAAGTGCATTTCTCTCTTCCTTATATAACTTACATATTTTGAATATGTAAGAGAATTGGTATAACAGTTACCTTGCAAAAATTTTACAAGTGGTATTTAGATTTATATTAACTGCTGTAGAAATGATTGTATTATCACTATTTAAGAATTTCAAAATGATTCTTTATCTTTTCAAGTTATATAATTATTACATAGCTGAGAAAGAAAATTTTAATAAACACAACATTAGCACAAGATTGCGATAAAAACAGATACGAATAAAGAGAATGAATAATTCTGGATACACTTGCATAGTTGTATATTAACATGATATATATTTATTCCAGCACATATTTTTAAACAATATCTTTAATGTACACACAGATGTGATTCTAGAACAGTGCTTTCTACTCGCAACACTTTCCACTTGATTGAAGAGATATAATACAAAATTGTATCTACTTAAGCAATATTTATATTAGTGTTCAATAATTATGAGCAGATAAAAAATAAAATATTTGACTAAATACGTAATTATTTTAACATGAAAATATATATTTAATTTATAATAAAAGTTAATGACTTCATTTATATTTATGATTATTTTTAAATTATGAAAAAGTAATTTCTTTGCTTTAATTAGCTTTTTATTTTTTTAAAATATTTTAAATGATATTAGGAAGTATTATTTAACATGAATAAAAATATAAAAGAGATTTCGATACAAATATCTTTTTTTCATAAAAGAGAATAAAATAAAAACAAAAATGTCCAATGAAATGTTTTGTTAATAACCTTATATATATATATATATATATATATACATACATATATATATATATATATATATACATTATATATATATATATATGTGTGTGTATATTAAAATTTACATATTAAGGAGCGTTAGGAAACACTGTTTTTAGATTGTAGTTGAGAAAGAATTGTTTTTAAGGAAATGACAGATCGACAATTATCCGCGCGTAAGGCAGAATATTAAATAGAAGTGTGGTATTTCACTTTAATTATTGAATAGCAATAAACATAGCTATATAAAAAGAGATATACTTGTTATATTCTCGTATATCATGTATTTATTGTTGAGTGCATCCGCGAGTGCACATGTATATTGTACGCAAAGAATAATTGTGCACATGTTGATTCGATGTTTGTCACTATACTTTAGGGGAAGAAGAAATATGATTATAATAGATAGAATATAGTCATAAGAGCAGTCGAATTTTAGTCAATATCTATGTCAATAGTCCTCCACTTCATGTATTCATAGAAGAACATTCCAATCGCGTAAAATATATTTATTCTGTTACAAATAACCGCAAAGGACGACAATGAGAAAGAGGCGTTATACGCATGTATGTTACACACATGTTACATTTTTATTTTTTTATTTTTTAGTTACGAATTTTAAAATAGGCCAATGGTAATGCAATTTATATTATAGGATATAAGTTGCTTTAATTATAAATTATAAACGATTATATTACAACGACAATATATAAGTTTATTTATTTTTTT